ATTAAAACAACAAGCATGATTGTCATTTATTGTAACTGTCATAATAACGCAATTGTCTAGTTTTTATTTAAGAATCTTGGATTATATTTGATGTATCATTTTACATTGATAAGATCTGTTATGGCACTTCTGCACCTTGACAAGATTCCCTACACTAATTGATCTAATTGGCAGGGCACATCAAAAAGTGTGGGTGCTCCGACGTTACTGATCTGTAGATGTACCTCTAGTATATTGAAACCATATTTATTTTTTCATTATTTATCTGTACTAATGCCCATCGGCGAAGAAAAGGTGGGTGGATACTTTTTTAATAACTTTTGATAGAAACAAGAGAGATCGCTACAACTTTCATCATTTGAAAGAGATGAAGTTACATCGAAGTATATAATATAGAGTACCTAAGATGTTTTCTCAATTTATTTTTTTGCAAATTTATTTTAAAAAAGTATCAAGAGAAAGGTTTTTTTTTAATGTAAGTAAAAACCTGAAAAACTACATCTTAAAATCTGAATCTTTCTTAGTGTAATAAATCTTTCATTAGAGATTCGGATGTTTACTTGATCAATGAAAATTCACTTTATTTACCTTATAGGATGCATTGATTTTCGAAAAAGATCGATTGAAAACCAGGTCAAAAAAAACTTGTATTATACGACTCGGTGATTCTATGTCGCCTCTTTCTAAAGGTGAAAATTGCAGCTCCCTACTTTGTTTTTCTTAAAATTTATCAAAAAACCCTATTTTCTTTTTTGTTTGAAATGAGTATTAGTTTTTTTGAACGAAAATTCTCACATCATAATCATTAATTAAGTTCAAAGAAGTATCTAAAAAAAAAAAAGAAAGAATTAATTTTTCTAATAATCTATAAATATATGCATGTAGTGGAATATGATACCTTCGTTTTGAAAAGACAACGAGACAATAAAGGCTTTTGATTTGTAAAATGATAAGTAGTGGTTTTACTCTATTATAGAAAACTAGAAAATGATTGCAATGTCGCACATTATCACTATTAATTTGCTTGAGATAGATGAGAAACGTTCAAAATTCATGAAAATACCTGAATATGGCTCGTCCCTATATACGTCGATTAACTACTGAAATATAAGAGGTTAGCAAAATTCGTTCAAAATACTCGAAACTATAGGCAGAAAGAATTTTTTTTACGTGCAACAGTGTACGTTTGAGACTTAAATTTTCATAAATTCTCAACTACATGAAATTAATAGTGTGTGTTTATACTATTTATTCATGATGTGATGTCAACTGCACAAAACAACTTCCATATAAGATATAATTTAAAATCAGGCCACAGTAATTTTCATAACATCTAAGACTAAAACTGACCTAGTATTTAGTATATGTACTGTGATCTTAATTGTGAAGTATAATACACGTTATAATCTTGCGTGACACATTTCTGGTAAAAATCTCGCGTGATACATTAGCACTACTTTTTATTTTTCTCATGTACGATGAGTTTTTTTGACGCTGGTATTTTCGCGACGATAGTTGATCACAATGAATTAAATCAATGATCAAAGTTATATCTCAAACTCTAGTACTAAGAAAAAAGAGCTATAAGTAAAATACAAGGAAAAATATCACGTGTCAATCAAATTTGAAGTTTTATTTCATAGTTTTGACGAATAACAAACAATACAAGTTTCTCTTCTTTATTTTTAACGGGTGTATTTTCTATTCATTATCTCTCATTCAACAGTATGCGGATCATTTTTAGATGCATTGTTTAATCTCAGGATTATTTTTAATCTCACATGACAGAAAAATCGACCAATGGTTGTATATTTGTGATTCAAAAGAACATTATGAAAGCAAAATTATGATAAAAACACCAATCAGTATTAACATCAAAAAGTGCAGACAAGAGATGGACAAGTCTGACTCATGACTCGAATCTTAGTCTCATTCATTTAAAAACTTTCACTCGAGTCATTCATTCCAAAAAGCAAAAGTTGATAATTCAACATTACAATCAGTTTCAGAAGAAATCGATGCTATCAGTGATCTTAGTTTCCAAAAGACTAAATTCATTTCAATCTCTTAATAAACTTGCTAGAAAAATCATGTTATGTTCTTGCTCCATCAACACCAGTTGAACATGTGGTTTCTGAAAGCAGTAGTTTTAATGATATGATATCATTTTCAAGGTTTTACGAGTTACTATTTGCATTTTAACATCTTTGAAGTACAATAAGACATAAACTTAAATATTAATCAATATCTTTTTACTCATAAATAACATTAACTTTAGGTTTTTATTTATAAAGATATTGTCTTGTGGAACAGTATGAAAGAGAAGTATTGATATTATTGCTTTTACTTTGTTGGTCAGTCTATAGTAGTTTGTCATTTAATTTTATATAGAACTGTTCTGGTTCCGTGCCAACTTCCAACATGTAACCGAGAAAAAAAGAAACCAGTCATGTGACATCTTTCAGCAGTAGATCACAGTAAATTTGATCTTTGAAATTTTACCTATTTAGTATCATAGGACTTATTGAAGATAAATATTTGCTTTCTTTTGTATGGTAATGAATACTTATCAGAAGAAATTCATCTGAAGAAAACCTTAACGGTTGATTGAAAGCAACTCAAGATTATAAATTTTTATATAGTTACATACATCTTCATAAATTGATAAATAATTTAAAGCATAACATAATGAAAGTGTCAACCAGAGATGGACAAAATCGCACCGCGCCTCCCCGCGCCACTGCTCGCGCCTAGGCGCTACGCACATCTATCTTTCTCTTTGCTCTACCAATCAGTTTCTCAAACTCCACCGAATACCGGGATGCTCTAAGCATGCGCTCATCGAAGCTCAGACTAGTGTAGCGTAGGCGTGAGCAACGGCGCGGGGAAGCGCGGGGAGGCGCGGTGCGACTTTGTCCATCTCTGGTGTCAACAATATGATTAATAATTTTGCACTGATATTTGATATATTTTATTCTCTGTTCAACATCCAAAAATGAAAGAATATCAATAGCTATATCGATTTATGTGGATGACAGATATTCGAAAGACTCCTTAAATTTCCATGAAATGTCATACAGTTATAGAGTTACAATCTGATTCATCGATCGAAATTTCTGATTATATATCATTGAAATTCTTGTTAAAGTAGGTTTTAAAAAGTATGTGCCAATGGCTACTATATGAATTTTATGCAACAATCATTAGTTGAACTTTATTTACTTGATCTAACAGTTACTTAACAACATGGTTTTGTTTTTCTTCAGCAACTTGCTATTCATTTACGTACAACTACTCATACGAAAAAAAATTAGTAAATAACATTTTTCATTTCTGTTTGAAAAGAAAATATTTATTTTTATGTTAGTGTTTATAATTGACAATTTATTCATGGATTAAGTTTATGGAAAAATGTTATTGATATATTATATAAAAATAAAGAAAAATTTATTCAACAACTTGTTCATCCACTTCCAGAACTTGTTATTGGAACAATCAGGTGTAATATTTATCATAAATTATTTTATTATGGTCATTCGACATTGAGAACAGCTTTTAAAAAGGTAAAATGATCTTGAATTTGATGTTTTGATCTTTTATTTTAATAGATTAGTGCCGACAACTCGTTATTATCCATGACAATTTCATTGTGTTCATCTTCATATAAAGAATTATTCGTATTCGATCTTCATCATGAAAATAACTTTTGAAAAAAGATGTTCATTTTAATTGACGATATGATATCATCTATATAATAAAATGTTGGTTTCTTTTTCTTAATTAGAAACGAGAAATATAGTTTACTTTGCTTGTACCTTGTACTTGATTTTGACGTAAAATTTCCAAAACATTGTCAAAGAACCATTAATGATGAATTAATATTACCTGAAATCAATATTCATTTTCACCACTTGATTGTCATTCATTTTTCTGTATTACGTAAATTTCTCTTTGAGAAGCTAAACTTACACGATATCATATTCATAATAATAAATCACTTTAGATGCTATCAGATTGGCTAGTGAAATGAGGTTTAATGATCAAATATTATTATTGTAACTGCATTGAGTTGGTGTGATCATAACAAACATCAACCGCACATATATAACTTCATTGTTTCTGCAATTCTTTTTCTTTTTCCATTATGCAAACATTATTTTTAAATTCTTCAATATATGCAGGAGAAAAGGATAAGGAAGAACTCACGAAATAAAAACAAAGAGATATCGAAAAAGTTTAAGTGTGCATAGAAAAGAAGGTTGTTATTTTTGTTCAAGAATTCTTACTACAACAAATGTACAATGTTGTCACATTGAATTGAATATACTCTATTAGCACCGCCACTTTTTTTTTATTCAATCTCACGGTATTTTTATTTTTATAATTATATAAATTTTACCTATTATCGTTTCTTCAATAAGCGTCTTGTTGCAAATTGCACATATATATTGAATACATTTCTTTGCCTAGCTATTGTTGAAAATAAAATATTGATCATGTCTTTTATTTGAAAAATTCAATCTAAAAATTTATGTTTTATGGACGTTCTTATTTAATAACACGAGGAAGTGATTTTCAAATAACAAAAGAATTGCAATTAGCAACAAAAGTTTTTTTTTCTTATGGCTAACATTTGATCTATGATCAAGTCCTCATTTCCTTCCAAAATTTGATGTAATCGTACGCAATTCTCATTATAGATTGCTATCTCCAGTTCTTCTATCGAGTCAAAAGATCTTACGCTAATAAGGAATGTCTTTAAAATAATCTAGCTCTTGTGCATGTGGTAGAGGTCAAGCTGTCTGCCACGTGTATATACACAACTAAGTAGACAAAGAATGAAAAGAAAAATCAGTTTCGTATGCGATAAATAATCCACTTTTATTTTAGTATCTAATTTTATATAACCCATATATAATAATATTTCTTCAGATAGAACTTGATTGTATTAATTATGAGTTCTCGTTTTAATATACAATGTTCCACAAGACCGCTATGCGATGTCACCATATGATGAGCTCGCATCAAAACGAGCCAATGAATGTTGTATAATAATTATCGTTTTCAAAGATAATTCTACCTTAATCGAACATCGTGCCGACAGTCATTTATGTAGAAAAGGCAATGATAATGATGCAATGAAGTTGTATGAAAGTATTGTTGATCACATTATTTCATCTGAAGGAGAACAATCAGTCATTAGGTGAGTAAAATTTCAATTTTAATGATTGTTCATTTGTCTCGTTTATTTAACGATCACATTCATATTCATAATCTCACTTCTCTTTTCCTTTAGTCATTTTTATGTGTTGAGAGGATGTAATAGTAAACTCAAACAAAAGTTTCAAAAATCGTTGATTCGAGTAACAGAAACATTAATCAAAGACAATTCCATTTCAGAATTACGAGGAGGTGCTTTAATGTTGAATTTTATTAAATCGATACGCAGAATTAATGTAATATGGAATATTACAGAAGATAATTCATTTATTGATGCTGGTATTATTTATCGACCTGATGTTGGTTTTTGTCTTGTAATTAAACATGGATTTAATATTATGATAGGTAAACGTGATGATGAAAAAATTCCAATTTACTGTGGTACACTAGTATATGTACTTGAATCAAATGAGAAAACTTTTCAAGATAGTATTTTCTATGTAACAACAAATCAGTGACCATTGTCAAGGTAGTTTTTTAAGAAATCTATATTCGAAAGTACCTGTTTCTTTAAATTGTAGATGAACAATATATTACTGTATATGGAACAAGTGCATTGCGAGATTTATGGAAATGGCTATGGAATTTGGTGCAGAAGAAATAGCTGATGACAATAATTCATTTATATCATCAGTCGAACGTGACATTTCCGAAAGATTAACTGATCAAGTTCCAAATGAAGTAGTTCAGTATCAAATGTAATTTTATGAAAAAACATTTAAAAGAAATAAACTTTTTTTGCATATATGACTTCTATGATTTCTTAAAGGCAAATTTTCTTGTCCAGTTTTCAAATAATTCGGACATCTAGCATCTAAATTAGAATAATTCTTTTTTGTTGTTAGTATGAAAAGTTTTCCAAAGATATTTCTTGATTTACCATATGAGTACACATTCGATATTGTTTGAATATTTTTATACATTCCATATCGTCTAAACCTATAGCCTAAGGTTTAAGAGTCATAGTAAATGAAGTATAATAAATACCAACAGTGGGAGATGGATCAACAGCTTTACTTCGATACCAATGTTGATGCCAACGAACAAATGGATTTATGACTTCTATAGTTTGAACATCTTTATTATAAACAAGTCGTTGTTCTTATTCATCTTCTTTTTGATTTTCAACAGCTCTTTCTGCTTTAGGTGAATTAGCTTTTGGCCTTAGTTGACCAGAATTTGTAAATGATTAATAATACCCATTAACATAGGCACTTGAGCAACATGTAGAAGTCTTGGATAAGAAAGATTAACAGACAAAAGAGGAGTTTCAGTCTCATTCTTTTTATCTTCTTTCGTATCTTCAACCATATCAATAAAGTATTTGAAACAAGTTAACAAAAAAAAGGTTTTCAAGGTGTGGGTGTGGGGTGTGGATGCGGGGTGTGGGTGTGTGGATGTGGGTGTGGGTGGGTGGGTGTTGGTGTAGTCGCGGTGAATACACCCACACCCATGCTCAGACCCACACACACCCATCCACACATACACCCACACCCCAAACCCACACCCCGCACCCACACCCCACGCCCACCCCACCCACACACACCCACACCCACCCACACGCCACACGCCACACCACATCCCCACGCACACCAACACCACACCCACACCCTACTAGATATAGCAATTCCGAATTCCTAGGAATTCCTACCGATTCCGGTTTGATTCAATTCTGGAATTCCGTTCCGAAATTGGATCATCATTAGATCGATAAGAGATGATAGAATAATACTAGATATAGCAAATCCGGAATTCCTAGGGTTTCCTAGTAATTCCTACCGATTCCGGTTTCATTCGATTCCGGAATTAGACGGAGCTGTGAGGAATTGCTTGTATTTGCTGGAATCGATTCCGGAATTCCTAGAAGCTGTTAGAATCCATTCCGGAATTGAATGTCGTGCAGGGGGCATGTGATTCCGGAATCGTTGGAATTGATTCCTGGGACGGAACTGATTCCGCAATGTGCAACATTGCGGAATAGGATGACTGCTCATAAACTGAACGTAAAAACTGTGGAATATGAATACGGCCTTTGAATAATTGCAGCGTGCTACATGAGCCGATAGTTATGTTGTGGAGCAGTATTATGAATCTTGTTATACTATCGAGTGCAATGCGTATTGAACTTCGTTTTTTGTTTTTCATTTTTATATTTTTACTGTTATCCTTTTCAAAATAGAATGAATACTACTGTTTTTTGAATAAACTCTGATAAGAAAATGATAGAAATCTGGGATCCTCATGCTGTTTTCTCAAAACCTTCTTTTTCAAAGGTTTCCATTGCACTTCTAATTCTAATTGAAACAGCATATAACACTAAATTTTCTCGATAAAGTCACAAAAACCAAGCATTTTCTGATCTCGCAATCAAGAATTAGCTTTTGTGGTCTTGAAGCCCTCCAAAAGAGTATTATTTTTGTGTGCCGAACGCTTTTTTTTGTATCCGACTGAGGGTCTCATCACATTGAAACGTAGGCTGTCGAGAATGCTGAGCATTGTGGCATGGCTTGTTTTGATGCCGTCAAGAAAGTACTGTATTCAACATCATAATGAATTTTCTCTGTAAATATTCAATATCTCTTTCGATCTGTCTGTGCTCTTTCTGTATTGATTATCTAACCCTAGATTCCCTATGTTTTCATGATTCTCATCTGTCTTTTATATCTATGTATTTGTTCATTTCTTCAGCCTATAAATAGACCGATCTTAGTGCAAATAAAATGTTCAATAACCTAGATACTTATTATGTTAAATGTTAGTCAAATATACGCATCTTCCCTGTATGCTCTTTTCCCGTTATACGTTTTTCACAGAGAAAAACTTTCCGATGGGTTGTATATTTGTTTGTGGTTTTATGAAGTATATATTTTGTCTTCTTGTCTTGATATGCATATATTCTTCTCTAGTTTTGATATATTGATTAAATGAAATGTCATTGAATAAAAAATGAAGCAGTATATTTAAACAAATAGACCTTGTCTGAAAGCTGTTTTTCTCTTTATATTGAACGTCAAGGGGGAGTCAATGAAATTTGACAATGAGAAGAAGAAAGGGCCAATGCAATGTGATTTTTACCTGAGTATCTTTTATGAATGATTCCTTAGTCTAACTGACTTAAATAAAATGATTAGTCTTGTTAACTTTTATTTTAACAAAGCTGATCGAGATGCATAGAAATGGAGATGATCAATATTGGAAAATATGTAAAACAAAAATAGAGTCTAGAATTGAACTATTTTCTTATGAATTTCATTTCATTTTTATACATATCTGATTTGGTTTTCTTTGAATTGTCATACTCTCATAAACACTAAATAATTCCTATGGTTTTTCAAGGGGAAACAATAGTATTTTATGCTTAGTCGTGTTAATCACTATTCACAGATAGACGAAATTCGATCAATCTATAAATAAAGAAACATAAATATCGAGACATTTATAATCAAGAAAATTGCTACAATCAAAATAATTAGAATCTCTTTTACATACTATCAACTTCTAATTTTCAATCGTTAGAAATGAATTTGATATTAGTTTATGTTCTCCACAGACAAACTACACATATTCTGGTAAATATTTATTGCCAGAACAGAAGATAGTTAGACAAAAAAAGCATTTATAAGAAAAATGGACGATTATTAGTTCAGTGTGAATGTTTGTCAATGATGTCAATAATGCAGAGATCATTTTTCATACATCTATTTTTATCATTAACCAGTGGTCATAACGTTCAAGAATAGTAATAAATTCAAAATTAAGCAAAATAAAATCTATTAAAAATATAACAATTTCATGTTGCTTGTCGTTATTACTATAAAAGAAATGATTTTAATATCTTGTATATTTGATATTTTTGCGCCATTACAAAAACAATGGATAAAATGCGAATCTCTTGGTTTCAGGTGTAGATTCGAATGAATGCTTCAATCTCTCTTCGGCATATTGGACACGATCGTAATGAGTGACCACATGCGACACATGTTGCCATGTGTCCACATGGTATGCAAGCTAATCGTTTTTCTTCCATCAAACAGAAAACACTAAGATTGCATATTGCTGCATTGATTGATCGATTTTGATTAATTTCAGTAGCTGTTTGTGAACTTCTTTCTGTGTCATGCTCATAACTACTGGTTGTTGAGTTCGATATTGAATCAGTAAAAGATTGACATGCTAATTCATTCGTTAATGATTGAGATGATGTAGTCATTTCAACATCTGTAGGATTCGATAATGATTGAGCTGCATTAGATGTGGTTAATGTTGTTTGTTCTTGCATTCGTGCTATTAAAAAATAAACAAAAATTATAATTAAGAACATTCTTGTATGAAAATTACCATTTTGTTCTCTGATTTGTTTCATTTTGATGCTTGGTATGACGATGTTTTCTTTTTTACCATCAATATGTTCAATTTGTTTTTGAAGAATTAAACAAGCTATGTATAAATCACATTCAGATACAAAATCGTAGTCTAAGAAAGAAATGTTCAAAAAAGTATAAATAACATTATTTTATTGATTATCTCACGTTTTATTGTTAATTGGTCTTCCCAACATCGTTTAACAATAGATAATTTAAAATTTTGATCCGATAAACGTTGTGATATAGGTAAATCTAATCGAGCAGCAACAAGTCTCGATAGAGTACTTTCATCAGGTATCAATAATTGCCGACTATTTGTATTTAGATTAGTATTCACTGGATCACTGGAACCTGCTCTTTCTTTTAATTCATTAGCTCTAGCACGTTCTAGAAAACGAAAAATATTAAATTTTTGTCTTAAAAATTTATTATTTTTCAAACATACCTTGTTGTGCTCGTTTCGATTTTTGAATTTTACGATATAAATCATCACCACATAACTGTCGAGCATATATACAATGTGGAAACCAACGAGCATGTTCAATCATTGGATTATCATTTGGACCCAGATCTTGTAATGATCCATTACAATAAAAACAAGTAACAATAGTTTTTGTACCTGTATAGAAAAATCCTGCTCGAACTAAATCATCTACTGATGGTAAATCTTTATTTGGCCAGGTTGCAAATGATCCATGGCGTTTTGGTATTTCTGAATAAGCTGGATTACATGAAGCTGTAAATACAATATCATTAGATCTTAATGGACCGAGATTACTGGCTGTTGGTGAACGACTACCAGAAATGGCACTTGTTGAATCTTCATTCACAATAACTATAGATAAAGCAGCAGGACGCATCAATTTTGCTTTGACGTATGGACATTTAGGTGAAAGTGTTTTATGTACTTCACATGAATCATCTGTATGTGGTGTCCATTGTTGACAAATAAGATTACAATAAATGCATATCACTCGATCACTAACATTGCAATTAAAAAATCCAGCTTCAATCATTTGTGAACTTGATGGAATGGTACGATGTGGCCAATGAGAAAAGGTACGTCTTCGTACTTGCTGAAGTAAATCTGTTTC